TTCCTACGTACAAGATGTCATATTTTTCCTTTAATTAAAAAAAATTAAACCTATTATAAGTTTTAAGTATGTAATTCCAAGAGGACCACTTATATGTATTATATATATATTATATTAACACAATTTACCATGTTATTGTTTTTTGGCAGATTCTTTTCATAAACATATTATAACTGGAAATTTGGATATGGTAAAATATAATTATTTACGGAAGGTCTTGGAAAAAGGTGTTAAATATAGAATGGCTTCAAAATGTAAAAAAAAGTAGTCATTTTAAGTTCTATAATGAAAAACATAGACGATTATGTTCTAAAACTTAATTATTCTACACATCAGCCTCCAAATTCGTTTTTAAAACGGGTATATTATATTATTCATATAACTAAACATAAAATAGCTTTTGTTAATCTAAATAAATGTCCAATAGATATATTATTTTTTCAATATAAAATTAACATTGGTAAAATACAAGAGAAATATACTATTGTGCCTATCGATAAAGCCAGTTATTATTTTGGTTTTATCCGTAAACATTTTTATGCAAAAATTGCCATCAATGAGTTAAATACTACACAAACTTTTAAATTACAAAATATGTCTAAAGAGGATATCATTAACAATTTGTTGAAAGTTGCAAAAAATTTGGTGCTAAATCAAATCCCTATTTAGAATTACCGTATTTATAATACGCATACTTAAATTACATAAATCTCCCATTAAATTTCGTGTTATTTCTAGTTCGATAAAAACTATACTGAAACAAGCTGCGGATTTATTAAGCAAATTTCTGAATCAGTTATTTGTTAAAATTGAACAAAATCTAAATAATAAACATAATTTCTGGATAATTTAAAATAATGAACCTGTATTTAAAACTCTAGAAAATTTAAATAAAACAAAATAAAATAAAGTAGCAGATACAATTCAAATATACGGTTTCACTACATTTCTACAACTATATCATTTAGTGATTTGGTGTTGGTAATAAATTCATTAATATATCTCAGTGGCACAGCGGTATGTCTTCGAACTTACAACGCTAGAATCCGGGTTTCGATACTTAAAATCATTCAGTTTTTGCTTCTATAATAACTATATTCGTTTTGATAAGGAAATTTATACCGATGTGGTCTAGTTATTCAAGTTGTGTTGCTAATTTATATTTTTATTATTATGAAAATCTATTGATAAATAATTTTACAAGTCCGGGG